ACTATTAAAAATCTATAAGTGATTCCGCCGATTTTTACTATGAAATTTTTACCTTTCAGCTGCGAACTACCCCTTAATCATTTTTTTCAACATATTAAGGATGTGGCTGAATATGATCTTCCGCAAATCAATTTTAATATAGAAAATGAAGACCTCTCAGAATTGCTTTGTAAGGAACTGTCTATTCCCGTGATTGCAGAGGATTTAGAAAAAATTCAAACGTTAAATGATGCACAAAAGGTTGCTTTTAATACTATAATTCGGTGTATCAATGAAAGCTGACCTGGTGTATTTTTTGTAGATGAACCAGGCAGCAGTGAAAAAACTTATTTATATAAATATATTCTTGCGCAAGTCAGGTCACAATGACTCACCAGTATGCAATAGAAGCTTTAGATCGATCGTTACAGGACATTATGGATTGTGACCTTCTTTTTGGCAGAAAGATTTTTATATTTGGTAGTGATTTTTGCCAAGTTTTACCTGTAGTTCAACAAAGAACATGAGCACAAATTGTGAACGCTTCTTTCAACAAGTCACTTCTATGGTTATTCGTAGAAGTTTTTCAGTTGTATATAAATATGAGAGTTGAAAATAATAATCAATCTAACAACTTCACAAATTACTTATTAAAAATCAGAGATGGCACTGAACCAACTATTAATGGAGATATGATTCGTGTTTCAGATCAAATTTTAGTATCTTGGAAGGATAAAACATCTCTACAAGATCTTATTGATACCATTTACCCAAATTTTTTTAAAAATGCTTATGACATTGAACAAATCACTAACGGCGCAATTCTAATAACTAAGAATGAATATGTTGATTTTGTAAATAAACAGATGATTAGACAATTTTTTGGAGAATCCAGAACATTTTATGTCTATGATTCTGTACCCGATGACATAAACAACGTCTACCAGTCTGAATACCTCAACTCTTTAACACCTAATAGTTTACCACCTTATGAGTTGATGCTTAAAATTGGTGTACCCATCATGTGCTTATGAAATTTAGATCCTAAAAATGGGTTATGCAATAGAACTAGATTGATCTGTCAGGCTTTTAATCAAAATATATCAACGCTGAGATAGCTGTTAGAGAACATCATGGCAAACAAGTATTTTTGTCTCGAATTCCATTAATGCCTTCGCAAGATCTTAAACTGCCTTTTATTTTAAAAAGAAAGCAGTTCCCAATCAGACTTGCTTTTGCCTTGACAATTAACAAATTGCAAGGTTAAACAATTTTGTGTATCAGTTTGTATTTCCCTGAACATGTGTTCACACATGGACAACTATATGTAGCTTTTTCAAGAGTAAAGTCAGTTGATAACCTGAGGCTTTTAGTAAAAGAAGGAAACATTCTGGGATACCAAGGAACTTATATACATAATATCATATATAAAGAAGCGTT